CACTCCAGGTGTTGGTGCCTGGCCGCTGGGGTAGCCAAATCCAGCTTTTCTCGCAATGCTGAGGTGCTTTGATCTGCCTTGCTCTGCACACGTTGGTCCCCGCAGCAGCTCTGGCAACTGGGGTGCGGGGGAGACCCCCTTGCGCTCCCCGAGACACCTCTCCTGCCCCTTCCCCTTGCTCCTGCACGGCCTGGGAAACACTCCTGGGGAGGGCTCTTCACCTGGATGTCCACGTGGAAGAGTTTTAAAACTCTTCCAAAAGATTTGAAAGAAAGATTTTATTGTAGTAAGTTATCTCCCGGTGGTGAGGTCATTCTCCAGCGGGGTAGGAAACACTGTACGCTGTAGCTAATTGAATATTGTAGCTACGCTACTGGGTTAAAAAAAAACATCACAAGTTCCTGAGCTTTTGTGGTAAAATCTATACACTCCTTCCAAATTCCCAATTCTGCTACTGTTGAGGAATGGGTATCGCACAAGGGAACTCTTTGGTCTTTCTTGAAGGGAGGTTGTTTATTCCTTCTACAAAGTCTGTGAAAGAGCTTCGCCAACAGTGTAAGTGGCTGTAGTCCTGGGACCCTGGATACTCCACTTGCCTTTTTTCTTTGCTTGATTCCTGTTTGGCATTGCAATCCCCACCTGGTTCACTTAAGAGCGACATAAACTTGAGTGTAAGCTTATTGAGAGTGCAACCTCCGTTTTTGGTAAAAGAAAGGGGAAGGGTGATGCCGGCCCGTTATGTGTTTAGATAAGTTCATATGACAGCTGTACCTGCTGGTACCAACATCAATTTTTCCTCCCTTCACCCTGAAAATTTCTAATGGTCCTGATTTTGCTTTCATGTTGTCTTTACACTAAGGGTAAGACACAGGCAAGCATGCAAAATTGATGTTTTCACTTCTTGCCAGATTTTCTAACTAAAAATTATTTCCTCCTGGCAGTTTTATCTCCAGATATTACCACTCCATCTTCTAAAATTGTAATAGCCCCTGTATATTTGATATCTTGTGGACTCTCACCAGGTTTCAAAGGGAGATTATATTTGCTGGGCAGGTTGTCGATAGAACGTAAAATATGAATGAAATTGTAATTTTATGGCAGATACCGTAGCTGTAACTGTCACAAGCACGCTGTATCCTCAATAGCCAGATGAAAAAACAGCCTCTAAAAACATTTGATTGACTTTTTTTCCAGTTAAGCCAGGAAAAAATCCTCAAAATTATGAACATGGTGAAAAATAAAGAAGTGAGCATTGAAGGAGCTTTGCATTTGGCACAGAAAGAGGTTTATGCTGAAAAGGTAAGGTCACTCCTTTGATCTATTTTGCAAGACATTCAAACGTGTGAGCATGTTCTGGAAAACCTGGTTGAGCGTTAGGAGCATGTCTGTATTGGTTCCAAAGATGCAGTCTCAACTTGTGCGAACATATATGCTCCAGTTTATAACCAAATATGACAGGTACTAATGGCTAATGTTACCTCTATCCTACATAATGGGATATTGTAGATGTAGATGTAGATGCTGCAGCTACACTGATGTCATTACTTGGATTAAGTAGTTTAAATCTCGATCAGATGTATCCACACGAGTTTCATTATTCTGAGTGCAGCATCAAGTGCTGTAACAATAAATGTAAGGCAAAATCTTTGGGCTGATGCCGTGAAGCACCTCAGGAAAATGATGGCTCTGACAACTCAGCGTTATGCATGGCTGCAAGAATGGCTGGCTGCAAAGTGCAAAGCCTTGGCCAGCGTGACTGCAGTTCTAACATTTCCTATGGCTGGCTCTGACCTTCCAACAGGCAAAGGTAGAATCAGTGCAAAGGTGGCTTAAAGTGGTTTTGGGTCCTACAACAACATAGCTTTGCTGAGCATAGGTCAACAAGACCAAGAGGTCTAGTCCAGAGATTTCTTCAGGGTCAGATTGAGACACAAGAATCTCATTTTTCTGCTGTTAAAGCCTTCATCTGTTCACTGACAATCAGAAGTGGATCATTAGCATCTTTCCATTTTATAGAAAGCATTGAAGTTCTTTCCTGAGGAAAGTAGACATTGATAATGGTGAGTGGAAATAGTTTGAGAATGAGTAGTACATTAATTGTGTACATTAGTACATCAGCCTTGTACTCCTCTCTGTAATCCCTGTCCAGTATCTCCCTCATTGCAATCTCTGTCCAGCATCACCACAGAAGTGCCAGCAGAGAATTCTTTGGAGAAATTTTCACCATCTATTTCCCCTTCTGCTTTGGACTTTTGAGCCAGAGTCCCTTTGGGAGCATCTCCAGGAAACAGTGAAATCTTATAATGTGCTAATGACACAATCTGAAATTTTTTTGCACTGCAGGAGCTGATAGTGATTTTGAGATAAACCTGGTGCTTTCTGGAATTTTTTAAAATAACTTTCTGAACTGCTTATTAACTTCTTGGCTGGAAAGAAGTAGGAGAAGCAAAAATAAATACTAATAAAAAAGCAGTGCAAGTTTTGCAGAAAGGCTGCAGTCAACAAAAATATTAAACACAGCAGTGTAAGACTACATAGAAATATATTCTCAGATGAAGAAGAGAATGGATTCCTTTTCTACTTCTGCTGCATTAAAGTTGTTGTGATAGTTAATTATTAGAACTAAATCACATTTAATATAGCTAGATCATGACCTTCCCTTCCCTGCATTTTCCTGAAGATTATAAAATTAGTCATTTTCCATGCACACAATATAGCTGCTGTAAGGCACGAGGTAACAGATTGTATACCTTCATATTATAAGAAGGAACAAAGATCTTCCATTTTACCGCACTGCATCCAAGGGTCTGTTTTGGTTTTTTTTTTTTTTAAAGTCACATATGGTTCTTGTTTGCTACTTAGTCCATTTAGTAAACTGCTTGTACTCATGTGTTTTGAATCATGTTTACTGCAATTCCATGGGCTCTGCTCTTCTCCTTCCTGGCTTCCTGCTCTCCCTTTCACTTTCCATCCCAATCTGTGA